GAAAAACAACAATAGAGCCAAAGAGACTGACACAGAATCTCTGCCTGAAAGGGCTTCCACACTCAAACAAATAAATTATAGTGTGAGATTAAATGAGCTAAAGACCAGATAAGCCCTGAATATCAGAAAATGGAATAAGAACTAAACAGAAAACAAGATTACTGAGGGCTTCACAGGTGTTAAGGGCTGCAGGGTCAGTCCACTAACAAGTCTGTACAAGAGGGGGATCTTGAATAAGGATATTTAATGATGAAAAAATACCCTGTAAGTAAACATTCCCTTCTGCTCAAAGAAGTCTGATTTCCCTAGGAAAGCTCTAAAGGCCCTCCAAATCTACAGTATTAATGTAGAGATCTTGAATAAGGATATTTAATGATGAAAAAATACCTTGTAAGTAAACATTGTCTTCCACTCAAAGAAGTCTGATTTTCCTAGGAAAGCTCTAAAGGCCCCTCAAATCTACAGTATTAATGTAGAGAGGAGGCAAGAGAATTAAAATGTTAAATCAAGCTACATTCAGAGACTGCAATCTGCTGATCAGCCCTGCAGCCAGGCCAGGAGGACACCTGCAGAACAAAGGAAGATTTCCGCCAGGATTGCTAACAACCCATTCCCCACACGTGTGAAGGGGAACCAGGAAATAGAGTCTTTTTTAAGTGGCTACCCTACACAAAATAAAATTGTCATTCCTTATGGTTAAAACTGTAGGGAACCTAGGGATTAAAGGCTGGGAACTGCCAGCAGGCCTTTCACTCTATATAGTCTTACCTTTTCACGCTACATACTCTTCTGCTTCCTCACTGTATGTCCACATCAAAGGAAATGGGTTAAAAAAGTCTTTAAACTATAACTCACAGGAACTAAAGAATATTATATAAACTGAATTCCCCGGAACACTCTAGGGCTTTTTTTCTTTTCTTGGGTTTTTGTCTATGCTTTCTCTAGTCTTTGCTTTTCTCCTTCTTTAATAAACAATTTTTGTCCCTAACTTTTTAGTGTGCTTGTTGAATTCTTTCCAAACTCTCCGCCAGAGGACCCTCTTCTCTCAGTGCAGGGCTTGGTCTCCCTGCCAAATCGGGGAAATTTGCTCTGTCCTGTGTCAGTATGAGCATAGTATACATGGACTGTATCCCATTTGTTCCACACAAAGGGAGTTCCCACCCAGCTCTACATAACAGGGTGTGGGGTCAAGTGAGGCTTTGGGTGTGAGTGCTGGAAGATAAAACGATGATAGGGGCTTGGTTCTTGGCATGGCCCTGCTTCAAGCTCTGTGGCAGGGCAGGCCCTGTTTACTTATGGGCTGGTTTGCCCCAATACTAATCCGAAGTCCTTAGGACCGCGTAATCTCCTGGGACTCCCTTGATGCATCATCATAGCCAATGTAGGGAAGCACCTCTCTATCTGACTCCAAAATTCAGAAATGAATAAATACAACGCATTTTTATTTTCTAACTTGAACATCTCCTTCATGCAATTCTAATTTTTTAAATGGGCCTATTGAGCATCATCTATGCGGCAGCATATTCTAGATTCTATTGAGGTAAGAGCAACAACAAAAAAACATGGACATGTTCTGTCTTTCTCATATGGGAGGACAAGAAACAAAACACAGCTCTCAGGGTGAGAGGGAGCAAGAGGCTTGTTCATGCTTCCTTACGACTTTTGGCCTTGGATGAGAGACAAGGACTGAGTTTAGGGTTGACCATCCACCCTACCCTCACCCACCCACACACAGTCACAGACTTCTACACACACTCACAAACACACATTTATACGTATCACACAAAGTACAAAGGAAGAGGGTCTTTGATTTTTGAAGCCACTGAAATAACAATATTGTAGAAAGGAGGAATTTCTTCTGTTTGACCCAATAGGAAACTTAAGGCCTAAAAGGCAAAAAAGACTCACAGAAAGAAGGAAGTGGAATAGAATTTAAATCTCCTGGCTTCTATTTCAAATCAGTAGCTCCTAAAATGGATTTCCAAAACCTCAGAGGCAGCATGATTGTTGTTTCTCTAAGTAAGGTGTTCCCCAGGGATGTTCATAGGCATTAAAAAAAAACTAAATTAATAAAAGAAAAAGGAAAAACAACCAAGGTCTATGGTCATTTAAGTTTAGGGGAATCCGGATGAAACAACATGATAGATTTCTCCCATACAGATTTCTTAGTATGTTTGATATGTAAATGTGAATCGTCAGTTTCTAAGAGGGGGAATTATTGGATCCTGAACTGTATCTCTCTTTCTATCTCTCTATTTATTTGTCACGGAACATCTTCCAGACCAGCATTTCACAGGCCCACTGTAGAAATATCAACCTCGTCTACGGCCATGCTACCCTGAACAAGCCCGATCCCGTCTGATCTCGGAAGCTAAGCAGGGTTGGGCCTGGTTAGTACTTGGATGGGAGATCACCTAGGAAGACCAGGTGCCATAGGTGTAAAAAGTAAAAAAAGTGAGGAATTGTAAGATGACAAGGTCCTTGCAGTCTGTGAGGTCAACCAAGCATTGCCTCGCCTAAAAAAAAGAAAAGAAAAAGAAAAAAAGAAATATTAACCTCAAATCCTCGGTAAGGTATGACATGCAAAAAAGTATACGAGGTGCTGCATCCATGTACTAAAATAACTACTTGTGAGATGGGACATCACTTGTAAAATTCTTAATCTTTTAGCAGGAAATGAAAGGGAACATCTCTTGCAGAGTTAATCTTTTTAGTAAACCTAGTTAAGTTTTCTTCCCTCCTTCTTTGTAAAAAAAGGCCCTCTCCCTCAAATCCTGATAATTGCCCAAACTTGTGACTCATTCTCTGGCTGTTGATAAGGGTCTTCTGCCCATTGTTAGCAGAAATGGTGTTAAGTCAGACAGGGCCCTTAGAGTCTGAGAGGGGAGGGGACTTTGGGCCAAAGTTAACCAAGCCCGTTTCCTTTACTCATTTAATAGGCAAATCAATAATAGAAATTAATAGATATAAGGTTTAAATAATAAGTTTGTATCTTCTTTTCCTTGTCTAGGGACTGAGGTGGTACCCTGACTGAGGCAGAAAGAGAAAATGCTCCATGAAACCCCTGTAGGCAGGGACTACGGCCATTCTCAGCAGGACGCAGATACTGAAGAAGAGACCTCTGGTCCCTCAACATCCATACTAATAATAAGGGGTTCATGGCTCTTAGAAAAGAGCTAGGCAGGAAAGTTAGTCAGGGGGTTTCAAGTCTGCCTGCAAAGACACTGAGGTCATCCTGTCCTAGAAAGGGTCTGCCCTAATCCTCCCACAATTAAGCAAGCCAGAAGGCATTTTTTAACTCACACAAAGAAACCAGTAGGCAGAGAATTAGATACAGTTTAAGCCAATCATTCACACCTGCACAGTGAAGTCCCCAAGGACCTTAAACTCACCTGAACCTCATTATGTCATCATTCTAATATAATGTATATGCCCGGAAGTTCATTAATATCATTATAACAGACTGAATTCTGGGAACAAACATGCGCAGAAAGCAAAATAATGAATCATTGAGTCCTGTCAATCTTAGTTGTCAATCAACGAAGCCCACTCCTCTAAGAAAAGTAACCATTCACAGCAAAAAGGGATAAAAACCCTGAAGTCTTTGTTACCAGGCCTTTTGAGCCACATTTCTCTTGCTCAGGCCCACTTCCACTTCTGGAAGTGTATTTTCCCTTCTAATAAAACTTTTCTACTGTATTTCAATGTCTTACTCATTTCTTCATTTCTTTGTTCAAGACATCAAGAACCTGGACAACGTGCCGGGAGAGGACCCCACTCTCCAGTAACACCTGTGGCTGAGTGTAAAGGCATTGCGCTGTCCACTCTTTGACTCTGCAGTGATGTGACAGTTCCTAAAGCAGAGGAAGACCTCTTTACACATGTCTGCCTCCCACCCCAGGCTTATTGATCTTTTGCAGCTTAAGAGTCAGTTTGAAAGAAATTTGTGGACACATTGAAAACATAAGCAAAATCTTACCACCCATACCAACATTTGAAAGAGATGTTTATAGTGAATCAAGCTTTACAGCCATATAACCCCAACTTATGATTCCAATCCACACATAAAAGAATAATCATGGGCTCAAGAAGGTTTCCAAAGGGGAAATTGATAGGTCAGTGATTAATGAGATAAAGTTTTCCTCTTCAACAATTTGATTCAGCAGCTTTAGTTTCTAGGAGAGAGCAGGAAAAAAATTAAAATTTTAATTCACCTCCAAGACTGTTTTGAGCATTTATTTCTTTGTCCAAATGAAATTTCTACTCTCTGTTTCTGATGAAAACATGTTTTTATTATTTTAACATAATTTCTGAATATTAAATTATCCAGAAATAAAGAAACTGAGTTTTCTTTTATAGCTCCAGAAAAAAATAAAAGTTCCCCCCAGGCTAGGAAGAAGATGTAATGGAAGCAGTGGATTTGGGCTGGGTCTTGAAAAAATGAATAGCAGTTTACCAGTTAAAGAAAGGCAAGGGATTGGTGCTCCAGGGTAAGAGAACCACATGTGTGAAGGCATAGGGGCATGGAACATCTCGAATATCCCAGAAACAATGGGAACTCAGGTATAGCTACATGACAGAGAGAGACAGATACAGCTAGGAAGGCTTTGGGAACTTTATTATAAAGAACCCTGGATGCTATCCCAATGGGTTTGAAGTTTATCTCATAGGCTGCCAGTGAAAGATTCTAAGCATAGTAGAGTCGTACACTAAAATATAAAAGATTGGCGACTAGAATGACCGATTACATAACCATTGTAAAAGTCTGGGTGAGAGGACTTATGGCTATGGCCAGAGTTGAGAGGCATTTCTGAGATGAAATGACAAGGTTTGGTAACTAACTGGATGTGGTGATAGGAAGAATGGGCTGAAGACAGCTTTCAGGTTGTCTAATGGGATACATGGTACTATCATGGAGAAGGCTCAGGATTGCAGAAATGGGGGATAGGTTTGGTAGGAGTAGCTAACAGAACATGTTAAGCCTAAGCAAAACCATTACAATGGGTTCAGGTAAAGGTAAGAAGAGGAAGTGATTCTCACATTCTTATAGGAGCTGCTATCTGGAAGGCCCAGTGCGCCCACAGTTTCTCATTTGTAGTCTTGTTTGATTTTAGGGATTATTCCTTTTCTGAATCTAAGTAATATCAATATATAAAATATCCACACCCACACTTCAGTTGGACCAAAAGTTATCATAAATTATATTGAGTTTGTTGTGATATCTTCAACTTCAACAAATGATGAGTCAGATTAACTCCATGTCAAAGTTCCTTGCTAAGGCAGATATTCAAAAGGCTCCTTGGTACACTGGATTATGACACAGATATGGGAAATGAAGGAAGATAAGTCTTTGACTCCACCTGGTCACACCTATTTTGAGCAAAGCCAATCAAGTACAAATATGAGAAGATTCCTTGTCTGAGTCCATGCTTGCCTTCTCCTCCATTCCACTGCTGTGGTGAAGCCAAGATGAGATTCACAGTGAGTAGATTTTCCCTTTTGAATTTATTATCTTCTAATAGCAGACTGTTAACATTCTGAGCTAAAGGCATCTGTTTCTTAGGACAATATCACTGTAATGGAAAATTTTGTTTAAAAAAATCTCTTCTTTTCATGGAATTGTGGCATTTATAAACATCTCTATAGATAAAGATAATTATAGTGGGATTAAATAGCTGTCTGAGCATCTTATACCATGCTATCTTTAATAAAATTACTTTCCAGATCTCCTGATTTAAGTCTGGGCAGAGAGCAAACAGTCCCTAAGCCCTAGAAAATGCCTTATCTTTCCCCACATTCTTGAATTCCTTTTTTACCAAAACTCCTGAGTATGTTCAGGCAAGATAAAAAAACATGTTATCACATCCTCTGCTGTCAAATGAATCTCCAAGTAAGAACAATTTGCCTTAGACACTGTCCATAGTCATTTATTCATGACAAGGCCTGAAGCATGAAGCTCTTGCAGCATCTCACCCATGGTTCCAGCTAAAAAGCTCAGAGTGTTGCAGGTGGACCACAAAATTCTGCCAAAGTAACTTGTGGTTAACTGTGCATCTCTTATAACAACAAACAAAAGGACTGAAATCAGAGAAGTATTTTTATATTTCAACATAGTAAAGACTAAAATATATTACAGCAGACTCTGCTTCATAATGGAGTTGCTAGTGTAAAATCATTATCTAGAAATAAGTTCTAATAACAATAAAGTTTAAAATAATATAGGAGATCAGATCTTGATCTCTCCTAGAACAAGAAATACAACCTTGGCCATTAATACAAGCTTGGTTAAGTCACTTAAGTGACTTCTGAAGCTCAATTTCCTCATCTGTGAAAGGATTGTATTGTACTAGTAGATCTCAAAAATTTCTTTCATCTCTTGACCTTTTTTTTTTTAAACTAATTTTTTCTTCCTTTTAAACTATCAGGAGAAAAATTAAACAAATTTTTAAAATTACTTTGAATCACCAGGTCAGTTCTCAAACCATTTTGTCCCAGGCAAAGGAAATGAGAACAGGTACTCAGAATCAGGCACCCTGCATAAAGCTCTATGTTCTAATAAGCAATGTCATGTACCTAGTGACAAATGACTAACCCAGGTACCCTGGGACAGCTATTGATTTCTCTTCTGCTAACCACGCTTAACAGCCAGACACTCCATCCTTGGCCTCTCAGCACCAGTATCCAACATGCTTACTAATCCATTGCTTTAAAAATAATTAAAAATTAAAAGACTACTTTTGCTCTTAGAAGTTCTAGGAATGAAGGAAAGCATTCAGAGCAATCATTTGATCTGGAAATCATTCTTATTTAATTTTCAGATCAAATAGGTAAATTAATTATTTTCAGATGTGATTTTTAGAACTTATAACTATTTTCATATCACATGCCATTCATTCTCAATTTTACTTTTCAATTTTTCAATACACTAACACTTTATTAGTTTTTTCATAAGACCTACATTAAAAATCCTAAAACTACATATCACAATAGCAAAATATAAGTAACCAACCACAATTGTACATTATCATTAAAACTGTTTATGGTTGAAAAAAAATACAAGGTCAAAGAAGAACAGACAGACCATTGAACACAGTGGTAAGGTTAATAAATACTTTCCATAAGCTTGGATAGAGAAAGAAAAAAGAAGACATTGTTTTGCCATGTGACAGGAAGCCAGTGTTATTTGTGATTTCAGATTTTCTTTGCTGGACTTCTTGGTGTCCTCCTGACTCCTGCCTTTGCTGACTATGTAAGTCTCACTTTTTAAAGTCTATTATCAAAATGTATTTGCAAAAAAAAATAATATGTTATTAAACCATTATCGATTTCTCAAAAATTTCAGAATATCAACATCAATGATAACAACAACAGCGGTGGAAGTGGGCAGCAGTCAGTGAGTGTCAACAATGAACACAACGTGGCCAACGTTGACAATAACAACGGGTGGGAATCCTGGCACACGCTCTGGAATTACAACACTGTAGGTAGCCAGCACCCGATTTCCATTCTTTACAAATATGATAGTTCTTTCATAACAACAGAAAAATTGCCTGCTATTCATAAAAAGTAAAATAAAATAAAATAAATTCTAGCTGCACATAAGCATAGAGTGCCAATTTTGCTCACCCAGTTTCGCCCCCTAGATGTAACTGCTATTAAGTTTCCCATGATCAGTGAAAATTCCAACACATAAACAGTAATTAGGATCCACTATGTTCAAGGGATTGTGAGGTTGTAAGACAAATATGAACAGCCTTTTGTTTTGCCTAGAGATCCCCTCAGTCATGATTAAAGACCTTCACAATATGCTGTCAAAGCATAGTCTACCTCACGATCTTCAAGTTCCTTCTAAAAAGACAGAAACTGACATTTCACCTGTAATTTAAAGGGACCAAAGGAAATGTAAATGATAATATTAATTGGTAAGGGAAACAAAAAAACACTTGGTTCTGGTTAGAAGACCCAACTGTGCAGTTATCAGCTCTGTGTTGAACAAACTTTACACGGTTAAAAAGACTCTTTATTGTTTTAGTTTTACGATCTGATCAATTTAAAAACTAATTCCTGTCTTATATGACTCCTTGAAATATTATAAAGACCAAAGAAGATTAAAATGTGATAGTATTTTTTTAATACTTTTTATTTATTTATTTACTTACTTACTTTTTTATTATGGTGACATTGGTTAATGATATTCAGCAAGTTTCAGGTGTACAATTTCGCAGTAAGTAATATATATAAACACGTGTATATATATATACACACACATATATATAAACACGTGTATATATATATACACACACATATATATAAACACGTGTATATATATATGTAATGACCACTCTTTTAAACTTTCAAAAGATTTTTACTGGGTGGATGAACTTTTCTTATAATGTCATTTAGCAATATATATTTTTTAACATACTAAAAAAAATATATACACACACACATGTATATATATAATAGTATTTTAAATTATTTCAGCAAAACAGACATGTAGAGTAATTCTTAACCACGCTAGAACCTGGAGATAAAGCAACAAGCTAGACACTGAGTCTCTGCCCTCAGAGGTCTAATCTGACAAATGTTAGCCATAAATGTGATTGCAAAACAGGGCCAGATCTTATACTTTTATCCCAGTTCATCGTGATCTCAGAGTTCTGGTTCTCTCCACTGGTAAAATTGTTTTCTGATGAGGAAAGTTCCTTGATGAACATACTTCTCACACTCTACCATCTTCCTAACAGGGCTTTGCTGCAACCAGACTCTTTCACAAGAAAGCATGCATTGTGCACAAAATGAACAAGGATGCTATGCCATCTCTTCAAGCCCTTGATGCCCTGGTCAAGGAGAAGAAGGTAAAAATAAAAGTCCTTTTATTTTTCTCACAATCGTCCCCTCTTGACCATAGTATGTTGTAGTGTGCAGCACAAAATGGGAAGAAGAATTGGTCAAGTGCCTGAGGAGAGGCAGCTGCCACCACACTCAAATGCTATGGCTCACACCTTCCCCTACAGAAGTTTTTCAGAACACCTAGCCTCTACTGTTAGAGGAAAAAAGTTCTCACACCAAGGAGAGCCTTCAGCACTTCTCCAAGGACATTTTTCTGCAAGAGTTGGGTTATGATTATTAGATTTAGCAAAAATAGAGGATTCCAAGTTAATTTTGAATTTTAGATAAGCAATCGATCATTTTTAGCATAAGTATGCCCTATGCAATATTTGGGATATACTTATACTAAAAAATGATTTGTTTATCTGAAATTCAAATTTAACTGGGTGTCCTGTATTTTATATGGCAACCCCAGTCGGAGTGAGTGGGGAGAAGGGATTCATCATTCTTTAAAAAGTTTGCCTGAGTTCATATTCATATAACCGATAAATGGCTACCTTTCATTAACAGGGTAGAAAAATAAATAAACTGCATTCCCAGAATTTAGTCAACACATAGTTCAATTTCAGAAATATGAATGACCAAATGAGGCCCAAGCTTCCAAATAAATTTAGCCTCAGATTTCTGCTTTTATGAGAAGCTGAGGTTTCAAACCAGCTAAATTCCTTGAGACAATGAGAAATTCTGAGATATACATGGTTGCAATTGGTTCTTCTTCATTTTGATTATAGAAAAATTATAACCAAGCAACACTGCCTGTTGACCTGGTATACAACCCTCAATTCAACAAACTGCTGGGATTAGCACTCATTCTCTCTCTTCCTTTTCCCCTGTCTTTTCTATATTCAGCTTCAGGGTAATGGACCAGGGGGACCACCTCCCAAAAGCCTGATGTATTCAATCAACCCTGGCCAAGTCAATGACCTGGATAAGTTTGGAGATTCCATCGTTGGCATGTGCAAGGGGATTCCAACATACATGGCTGAAGAGATTCAAGGTGAGTAGCCTCCCTATTATGCACTCTAAGTTAGTGCTGGTAAAATTGTCAGACTATTCTCAGGCATGTCCACAGAGGATTCCAACTACTTAGATGGTAATCAAGGCTACGCAGCCCTTGTTCCCTGCCATGCGTTATTCTTCGGGATTTAGATGTGTTGACTCATTTGCTCCTGACATCAATCTTATGTGATAGGTTCTATTATTGTTTTCATACTCAACATGAGAAAACTGAGGCACAGAGAGAGGTCACAGAACACTTGCCGGGTTCAATCCTAAGCGTCTTGGCTCTGGGTCCTGTGCTATTAAGAATCCTGAAATACTGCCTTTCGAAGGTGAAATTAGAGTACATTCAAGACATGGTCAAAGAAATACATGTTAACTAAATGAAAGCAAAAGGCCAATAGAATCTTTTGACTTTTTACAGCTCAAACAATCACTTAATTTCTGAGCATTTGAAGGATAATTTACACAAAAACGAAGTATCCACCTAGGAACCTAACCTAACAGCAGCTTTTCAGATCTTTGAATCTATTGATTTAACCTTTATAGCTAGATAGCTAGATCTTGAAATTGTTGCAGAATTAGTTTGGAAACTGTATGACTTCTCCTCTCCCCATTCGCTGCTGCCCTCTCCCTCAGAAAAAGAGTTCTTGAAAAGACATTGATACTGGCTTCTTCTTTTCTTTTTCTCAGGGGCAAGCCTGATTTTCTACTCAGAAAAGTGCTTTGATGCTAATATACTCTGGATTCTGAACATTTCTTTCTGTGGAGAAACCGTGGAAGCCTGAAAAAGAAAAGTTGTTTTAGGTTTAGTCATCACAATATTTTATGCAGAAAAACATGAGTTCTAATTGTTTTTTATCATATCATTCTGAAATGTTCTCTCCTGATTGTGTTTGGTTTCTTTACATTTCAATAAACCTATTTAGCACTGAAATTAGTTTAACCTAAAATTCCTTACGATTTCCATTTGGAATGCACAGGATCAAAAGTGCAATTTGGTAGTAGCAATTTGTTGAAGTGCGTTAGACCCAACTATTAGCCTATATTCAGGATGTGTCCCTTATAAAGAACCCCTTCAGATGCTTCAGATACTACTAACCACAGCTCTGGGAATGGTTCCAAGACCATCCGACTGCTGTGAGAACTGTTCTATAGTTGATGTGCACAGCGACGTTTCAGATCAGCAAGGGCAGAAATCCACTCAAAGTAGCTTAAGCCAGAAAAGGAAAGTTTATTGCAAGGGTATTGGAGTATCTAAAATAATCTTAGGGCAACAAAAGCAGCTGGTATCAAAGATACTGGAGCCAGGAACTATATTGACACCAAGACTCAAGTCTCCTTCTCTCTCTCTGAAGCCATGTGTTAACTCTTCTCTGCTCCTCTCTAAATTCTGCTTTCCTCTTATTTCAACTCACAGATGGCTTTTTCTGCAAAGATGGCTGAACCAAAATGTTAGCCTCATCTCCCATGTTTACATGTCTTTCCAACTTAAGAAGTAATGTCTAATACTTTTGAATCCCAATTCCAATTTTCCTTCCCACTATTTTATTCAAGAGTTCATGACCTCCATTCTATAATGGCCAGAGAAGTGAAGTCACATGGAAGTGAAGCACTGGGGTCTCCACTGAAGGAGAAAGACCTCAGAGAAAATAAAGACTTCAAGTGTTGTGTATTACAATGTGAATCTATGGTTTACTTTTTAAAATTGCTCTCAGGATTTTTTAAAAATCTTGGATGCTGTAAAACAGTGGTCTCCATACTTTTTGGCACCAGGGACCAGTGCTCCTATAACAATCTAATGCCTGATGAGCTGAGTGATGATGCTAGTGCTGGGGAGCAGCTGCAAATACAGATGAAGCTTCCATAGTCAGCCACTCACCTCCTGCTGTGCATCTTGATTCCTATAAGGCCATGGACCGGTACCCCTGCTGTAAAAAGGTATCTAATTCATTCCCAAGTCTTCAGATGGAATATCCCTAAATAACCCTACCAAACAAAATTAAAGACATTAATTACCACCATTTGAAAAATGTAATATTTACCATTCTAATTAGGAGGAAATTATAATTATTTTCTTTAGCCTGAGACATTTTTATTGCTGTTCACATGAAGTGTACCACCAGTGTAATACAGTTTTCAAAATATCTTAAAGTCATGAGATGTGGAAACCTGTCCAAGACTCATCAAATATCAAGGTCTTGGATACTCCTTTACTGTGAATGAGAAAAAAATAAAACTGTGACTCGCAAACTGGATACAACACCAAGGCTGACTTTTGGGAGCTGGTAAATCTCATGTTTCATAGAAGAATTGTCTAGTCACTATTTCAGGATAAGAAATTAAATTCACTAGGAAAATATAAAGATTCTAGATTATATACACCTATCAAAATATATAAAGGAAAAATTGTAAGAATTTCAGGAGAATTTAACAGTCTCACTATACTAAAGATTTTTAACATATATCTTTTAACACTAACTTACAGATGAAGCAGTTAAAGATATAAAAAGTTTAATACAATTAACATGCTTATTTTAATGAACATATATAGAACACTGCAGAATACATATTCTTCTTAATCACATATGGGACATTTACAAATATTGATCATGTGCTGAAGGATAAATAAGATTTAAAAATTTTTTCAAATGGTAAAGAACACATTTTTCTGACTTCAACTTAAAATAGAATAAATATTGCCCTCTGAATAAAAAAAGATCATTCCATTTGTTTTGAAATCAGGAAACAAACTTCGAAATAACACATGAGCCAAAGAAAAATTCATGATGATAAGTAGAATGTATTTTGAACTGTGAAATAATGAAAGCACTTCATACCAAAATCTTGTGAGCAGCAGCTATAGTAATTTACAGCCTTGAATGTCTATTTTATAAAAGAAGAAAGGCTGAAGATTGAGTTAAGCATTCAACTTTAAATGTGAGGGACAAGCATTAAATATCAAAAATAAACAGAAAGAAAAAATAATATTGACAATATCAAAAGTTAATAACATGGAAGATAAATATATAATAGTAAGGTTCAACAAAGTCAAAAACTGGTTCTTGTGGAAAGGCAAAAATTGACCAAAAATAAAAAGAGATAAATCACAAGCAATGCTAGGAATGAAAAAAAGGATACTAAGCTACAGATGTCACAGATATTAAGATGTTAATAAAATAAATTTATAAATAATTTCGTGTCAATAAATTTGAAAGCTTAGGTGAACTGAATTTCTAAAACACTCACTACCAAAACATACTAAAGAAGAAATATAATGCCTTAATAATTCTATAACCAGTAAAGGAATTAGTTCAGAAGTTTAAAAATTACATGCAAGAAAACTCTAAGCCACGATGGTATTTACACTGAGATTGAATAAACATTGAAAATACAGATTACTCTAATCTCATAAAACTATTCAAGTGTATAGGGAAGTAAAAAGAAGTACTTTCCACGTTACTTCATGAGTATATTAATAACCTCATTCCAAAACTTGACAAGGATTGAATGAAAAAAGAAAAGTACAAGGCAATCTCTGTCATGAAGATAGATGCAAAATGTCTTAACAAAACGGTAGCAAGTCAACTGAGCAAAGTGTAAAAAGATAATACAGCATGACTGCGTTGGATTTTTTCCTAGCAATACCCATTGGTTCGATATTAGGAAATTAGCAATGTAATTTGTCACGTTAAAATATCCAAAGACAACAATATATGATGTATCTCAACAGTAGCAAAATTATATCATTGAATATTTGTTCATAATAAATAAGTAACTTAGAAAATCTGGAATTAAAAGAAGTTGTACTGAAAGTTAGTAAACAAGAAAGAAAGAAAGAAAGAAAGAAAGGAAGGAAGGAAGGAAGGAAGGAAGGAAGGAAGGAAGGAAGGAAGGAAGGAAGGAAGGAAGGAAGGAAGGAAGGAAGGAAGGAAGGAAGGAAGGAAGGAAGGAAGGAAGGAAGGAAGGAAGGAAGGAAGGAAGGAAGGAAGGAAGGAAGGAAGGAAGGAAGGAAGGAAGGAAGGAAGGAAGGAAGGAAGGAAGGAAGGAAGGAAGGAAGGAAGAAGGAGAGAGAGAGAAAGAAAGAAAAAGAAAGAAAGAAGGAAAGAAGAAAGAGGGGGGTGAGGGAGGGAGAGAGAGACAAAGAAAAAGAAAGAAAGAAGGAAAGAAGAAAGAGGTGGGTGAGGGAGGGAGAGAGAGAGGAAGAAGGAAGGAAGGAAGGAAGGAAAGAAAGGAAGAAAGAAACTATTATGCCCAGATGACATGTTTTTCTGTGAAAAACACATGCATTTATAGATAATACGGGAATCGGAGCATTTAGAAAAGTCCATGAATACAAAAATAACTATTAAATATGAATTGCATTTCTATATATCAGCAGCAAATATATAGAAACTTCCATTGTTTAAATAGCATGTATAAGAGCAATATAAAATATAACATATCTAGGAAAAATTATTTAATTTATTTAACAATATTTCTTGAATAACCTGCTACACATATCGCACTATTGTGCACACTTGAAATTCATCAGCTAATAAAAACGTAAAGCTCCTTGTCTCATGTAGCTAGCATTTTAGTCAGAAGAGGGAGAAATAAACAATAAACATAATTATCATAAACAAATAAATACATAAATAAATAGTAGGATATTTGGTAAGATGCTATTGTGTACTGTTATAAAGTAGAATAGAAAATGATAAAAGCTAAGGGGAAGATGCAGAGAACAATAAGGAAAAGCAAGAATGCCAGGAGGGAAGAGGCACTTTGCAATTTTTAATAGGTATTTAAGATAGGCATCGTTGGACAGGGGAAATTTGAACGAAGTCTGAAAGAGATAAAGTAGTTAGCCATGTCTATATTTCTAGAAGAAAAACATTACAAGCAAAGGAAATAGTGCTAAGGCCTAAGGCAGAAGTGTGCCTGGCATCTTCAAAGTACAGCAAGATCAGTGTGGCTGAAACAGTGTGAACAGAAAAGAGAGAAGAAGGAAATGAGGGTGAAGAGATAGAGGGAATCAGATCATGATGAGCCTTGCAGGCCATTGGTGGCTTTGAGTATTATTCTGAGTAGAATAGAAAGACGTCGCAGGAATCTGAGCTAAGATAGGATATAATCTTATTAAGCAATAAATTAAAACAAAATTATTAAGCAGACATAGATGTGCTAGACTTCTATGAAAACTTTATTGAGAGGCATTAAGGTAGAATAAATAAATACAGATAAACTATGGCCATGAATTAGAAGATTTAATATTATAAGAATGTCAGCGCCCCCTCAATCTATAGATTCAATGCAATTCTAAGCCAGTTCCCAACAAGTCATGCGTGTACATGCGTGTGTTTGCTACATAACAAGCTAAATTTAGAATACAGATGGAAGATCATTGACCAGTTGGAAGACGGTTCTCCAGGGGTCCTTGATGTTTCTATATATGAGTAGAAGCACTGACTGTCCTTTGTTCTCAACTGTTTTTGCAAGGATGTTTGTATAGGAAACAGGTTTGGAAGATAGGCATTTGTCTCTCTTTAGAACAAAAGGCATGTTTACTTCTATTGTAAAAGATTTGAATTCTCTAAGCTCAGGGTCCTCTGTGCAACCCACTCTCTGTACAAGAATCCATCTGGGTCTTATGCATTACCCTTGGAACATGTGGGCAAGAAACGCTGACATTAACATTCATACTCATACTATTTGCTGTGCCATGATTAATAAAGTCTTTCGTCTCTCACCCAGGGGTCTCATGTCTTCTGTCATCATCTGTGAAATTATGGCAGGCTAACTTTTG